GGGGGGAGAAGGGGAGCAGAGCTGGAGGCAAGGCGGAAGGAAGAAGGCGAGAGAGCGTACACCTTGGGTTCCGGGCCATGGAGGGGTGCTAAGTCGGCGGCGGAATGTGTAGCACGGAAATTGCCGAGAAACGCGTATTAAAATCGCTGGATTTAGTAGGGAGATAAGCCGCGGCGGTGAGAATGCGGGATGCGGGCCCGGGGAGGAAAAGAAAAACTCTCTTTTACTTGCACCCTGGCATTGCCGTCGTCTTTCCGCAGTCGTTACCCAAAGCTCAGAGCCTAGACTACGTCACCACCCACCAACATCGCTACCCGACGACGCCACGTTACCCGGACTCTCGCGTGGTCCTCAAGAATCCAACTCCTAACATTCGCATCATTTAAGTCGCTATGCACACTTCCGCTTGCTCATTCTTTTCCTCTTTATTGTGCGCGGCTTTGTGTATTTCCCACGTTTTCCGTCCTGAAATAATTCCATGAAAATGTAAATGTCGTTACCGTTTGCGTGAAGCTCGACGCGAATAACAATTTAGATTTTGATTTCTATATAAATCTTGTTGATATTTTTCAATGTAATAAATTGTTAATAGTTCTATATTAATAAAGAAAACACATAAGATAGTGATGATAATGAAAATAATAAGAGTATAACAATACAGTAATGTTATTGACTGAAAATAACATATATCAATGCAGAAGATAGTCCAATTGAAAATTTTAAAATAAAAATATTGTAACTTATGGATATAATTCAAATATAGTCCATGAGTAATTACTTGATTATTATATCATAAATCGAAGGTTTTACAAATGTAGATTTTTGCGTGAAGCTTTCTGTAGTAAATACAATTTTTTTAAATTACAATTTTCTTATAAAAAAAGTAATTTCTATCTGTATATAAAGAATTTTATATAAAATTCTTTTAGAATATATTTCAGAAATTATCTGGCGCAATTTGTGTACAAGGCATTAGACATTTAGCAACTTTAAAAACTTCCATAGATTATAATAATTCCTATCTGGGTGTAAAGAATTTGATATAAAAATCTTTTTCAGAATATATTTCAGAAATTATCTGGCAATTTGTGTATAAGTTATTAAAACATTTAGTTAACAACTTTAAAAATTTTTATAAGATAACTTCCATAGATTCTTCACTGACCCCTGAAAAGACTGCAGCACAACGTGCTATAGCGTAAGACCAGATGCTCGTTGTGGGATCTATGTTGTGATAAAATTCACATAAAAGAAATTAAAATTGAAAATACATATGCAAATCATACCTCAAAAATACTATTGTTTTATCTAATATATTTAAAAACATTTTTTTATCTAAACAACATAATACCTATATCGTCTAAACACCTGAAAAGAAATTATTATTTTAAAAAGATATACACAATTGAATATTTTAAATATATGTATAAAAGGAAAAAGAGATTTCTTAACATAAAAAATATATCATTAAAAAATAAGCTTTTTTTCTTTATAAAAGAAATTTAAAATTTTAATTTGGAGAAAATTTTATTTCCTTTCTCCCGTTTTAATCTGGTTTACTTTTCATGAATATGTTTATCTATTGTATATGTATAATATAATTGTCATTTGTTTTTATATAAAAAATCTCTGTATAAGAAATGATGAAAGAGGTACGAGATGCGAGATGAGAGAGATGCGTCAAAGGAAGAGACTTTGTATGAAATAAAGCAAAAATATAAAAGTTTTTTTTATCTGCAGCAAGTACTCTATTTTAGAAAAAGGTTCAACGATGTTTTCATTCTTCGATTGTACATCTATTTCCGTAAAATTTCATCTCCACCTGTCTTGAAACCGATGAAAGGAACCGGCACGCGCGCGAGTATGTGTAAGTATGTATACGTCTCGTCGGAGGTAATAATCCATCGGAGGATTCCCCCTTACAGCACTGTGCCCACTCAAATGGTCGTAGCCCGCGCTTTTATGCCGTCGTAAAAGCGCAGTAACAATTAATAAGTATCTCGTAAAAGCTATTGCCGTTGACACCTTTTTGAATGACAGGGGCGGGTTAAGAGAGAACGCCGGTCGTCAGCGCCCTTTAGCTCTCACGTTTTCTTGTGCCGAACTCTCTGAACGTCAACTAAATAGCAACGATAAGATTGTCCATAAATTTTATTTACGCGCGAATCGTTATTCTTAATTGGACAGTTATGCGATTCACTATTCTGCGGATCTATCTATCAGCTGTTCTGACATTTTAACGCTTCTTATTATGTTTACCGTTTAACGTGAAGTGATCCCTACAGAAAGAGGCACTTAAATGCGTGATAATGGATTTATTATGGTCTATTAATATGTTTGTGATATATTAACATAAATGTAATAATAGATTTACTATGCTACTTTAATGTGCTAATGTTTTGTATCATATATTAACGTCTGCTTTCGCTATTATTCTTCAAATATTAATGTTTGCAGTTGTTAATTATTCATACATAATGTGATTAGTAAATGTTAAACATTTGTAAAATTTATGTAATATAAAATTACAATTCTTTTCAGTGATCAACATTTATATAACTGCGTGTAATTACATATAATTATATATTTGCGTATACATATTTCCAGCATGAAATTAAATTACAAGTTATAAGTATATACTATATACTATTAATTAAAATACATTTTAAATCCTTTATTTTTTTTTTAAGAAAAGTTAGAATTGTTCTGGATACAGAAAAACATAAATGTTGTAATATTTTATACGTATTTTATTATTATAAAATTAAATATTTAGTACCATTTTTATTTATAAAATATTTTACTTTTTGTAAAATCTTAAAGAATTCTTTACAAAAATACGAAAATAAGAAAGCATTTTCTTATTTGACGGTTTCACAAATATAAATTTTTAAAGAAAATATAATTTCACTTGGAAAAGTTAAAATGTTCTTCATAATAAGATAAAAACAAAAATAGAGACGTACAGAAATTTCTCTTCTTAGAATTTAATTTTAGACTATACTTCTACTTATCTTACAATTTCGAAAAATTAGAATTTACAGAATGAATGTTCACATGAATGAATGTTTCAATATATAAATGTCGAAACTTGTCGTTATTTTTTCTTTTTGATGGTAACACATCTAGCAAAAGACATGGTAAATGTACGTGCAACATACAAATATAATTTCGAGCTAACATTGCGGCATTTTGCGAAAGGAACAAGGGAACAGACTAGATAATATTACGCAGAACGGATATAGAGAAACGGTAGCCACAAACCCGCGGTCGGGTTTGCGTCGTTGCCTTAATTAAGTTACATGTTGGTCGCATTGTTCCGAATATACATATAAATGTCAGAACAGAAGGTAGAAAGCATTAATTAATTTTAATAGCAGTTTTCCTTGTTGAGTCTATGATATTTCATTAGATTTTCGATATTCTATTAGATTTTCATATTTCACATAGATATATACGTCAGAAAATAGTACAATAAAAATCATTTACAATATTGTTAATGCTATAAATTAAGTAATAATTTATTTAGAATAATAAAAAGCAATGATAAAGAAAAATAAATATAATATCAAAATATATAACATATTTCGTTATAAATTTGTGTAAATTACAACTCTGGTAATATTATGGAAATAATGTCATGCGTTCAAATTAAAGGTAAAATATAAATTATGTTAAACAACACAGAATTAAGATAATATTTATAATATTTTACATTTAAATATATTTTGTTACTTATGATTGGAAAAAATACCGATCGTAAAAGAAACAAAATAATATTTTCTTGAGTTACATCTCTTAGTAAATATCTGTTCATTACTTAGTCGGATTTAGAGAATAATCCAGGATATCGGTGATAATTAATTATGTCCTACTGAATAGGATTAGATTGAGTATACCAATACTCTATGTCGACATTTCTGAGGGTACGAACGAGGTGCGTATAGAGGCACGAGGATAGAAGCATCCGGGTGGCGCTAAGCCAGCTTTCTCAGCTGCGGAACGCAGAGGGAGCGCGGGGTGGAAAGCGGTATGGAAGAAGGGATGGAGGGCAGAGCAATAGCCTTTACGACTCGGCCATAGTATCAAACGATCTATCCTGCCATTAAGATAGTCTCAGAACGATTCGGTAACCTTTGGGTCCGTGGAAAGCGATACGCTATCGACTTCGTAGCTTGGCCGCGGCATTTTGTGAACGGATAAGGAAGGCGCTCTTTCCCCCTGTCGGTTCGTCCTTTCACCCGTCGTCATTTCGTCTTCATCCTCGGATGAAGGTGCCAATAAGGTTGACTGCTGCCGTTCCTAGAAAAAAGATCTTATCTAGTCTCGCTCTTCGGTCATATCGTACACATTTTCAGCTGATCTTCTATCAAATTCATCAGTTCCTTCAACATTATGGTTATTTTTTACATTGATTATGATTTATGGAATATGACATGCATATTTTAAAAATACATATGATATGTGTCCTCGAATATACTATTACTATGAAAGACGTGACAAATAAATTTTAGATTAGTATTTGCTCATAAAAACTTTACAAGAAATTGAGAAATAATTTAATAATTTAAAAGTTTTAATTTAAAAAATATGAATTAAAATTGAACTTACGATATTTATAAATTTAGAAAGAGATAATGTAGGAAGATTACCGTTTATCTATTATTATTAGCATTTTATTTTTAGTTTTCAATGTAGCGGGATATTTCTTAAAATGTTTATAGACGTCTGTATCAGAGACGGTCCATTAAAGTGAGCCTCGCGCTGCTCATCAAAATAATTTCATTTGGTATGAAAATGCATGCACATTATACAAAATGCAATACAAATGTTCACTGAGGTGAATCCGGGAAGGTGGTAGTCTGGAAGGGAGGATACCATGCATATACATCCAAGGGAATGGAGCGTCATGCGCCAAGAAAGTGGGGACAGGGCTTGCGCGGCAACGTAGCTTGGGAAGCGCCGTGTTTGACGGGGGGGTTTTCCCTGGTATGAGAAGAGGGGTATGGTACCGCGAGAGTTTCCAGGGTAGTCCAAAGGGGGTGGAAAAGGGGTGGAATGGAATGGAATGGAGTCGAGCGTAGTGCCCGTAGGGTGAGGTGGTGCCGAGGGGCCAAGGGGACCGAAGATTGATAATGCAATTCCAAGACTGCCATTATCCCCGTCCACCCAACTCGCTCCGGCGCTTCTATCTTTTTTGCTTCTGCGTTTCTCTTGCCCGCTTCTTCTTCTCCGCCCCTCTCTCCTTCTCCTCCTCCCCCTCCCCCTCTCTCCCGGTCGTCGTATGAGGACCGACGAGTTTTAGAAATGTTAACTCCATAAATGTCACGCCATTCTTTCTTTTTTTTTTCTTTGAGAAAAGAAAGGGCAGATAGGTGGGCGGTCTGATGTACAATCTCGCTTATGGCAAATAGAAGATATTATTCGCGGGAATTAACTGCCTCGGATAAACGCTGAGTCATTCAGACTCACCATATTAGTTTTTTGCGCTAACTTCGTTCTACGGTTTTGCAGTAATTGTGTTTTAACTTTCGAAACTAATAATTAAATTCAAAAAGAAGGAGGAGGAAAGAGCTAATTACAGTTTACTTTCGTTAATTTTGTTAATATAGAAAAGAGCCATAGCTTGGAAAAATTCACTCTGAATCTTAATATTGGATATGAAAAAAGGCAATTCTAAGCCGGAGGTCCAGAAGCCTGAAGATTGATAATCCAATTTCAAAATTCCCATTATCTCCAACCATCCGGTTATCCCTCCAGGCTTTTTAGACTCTCCTAGGTCTTTCTTTAGGATCTTTTACTTCTGAACTTATCCATTTCGAAAGAATGGCGAAGTTTATAATCTTTTTCTTCCTATCAAAAAGTTCCCGCGCGATGACTATTCTGTTTTCCAGAAATAATTATATCGTGTAACTTTATGTAGATGTCGCAAAATCTTTTTTTTTTAACATTTCAGAGGAATATTCTCCGCGCGAGATACCTCTTTCGCGTTTCGTCTGATATCCTCCGGGAGATGCCGACTGGCTGCCGTTGGCGTTGCCCTGGGAACCCCCTTAGAGCCGTATTTCCTTGGCCGGAAAGCTTGCGTTTTCGCCTCGCTTCCCAAATCCCGTCAGGAAAGTTTCCGCCGACTGTGTGTTTGAATGGATGTTGAAGTAGAAAGCGAGGGATAGTCCGGAGAGTACGTGCTGGGTTTTGCAAGCTTTTCGAAAAATACGATTATAACGATAATCGTATGTGTCGATTGTATCTTGTTTATTCTTCAGTTATGCACTTAGACTGCACTGATCATCGTGACATTGTCAGATTCAAACGGAGCAGAGTGCAATTGCGGCGCGATGTATTGAGTAAAAAGATATTTCATGCAAGAAGCTGTATCAATCAATTTCAATGCAAATTTTGCAACTTTGAACGCAAAGTAACATGTCTCCTCTCAATTGTTGTGACACATATTAGCATAGCACACATAAACATTGAACTATCAAGAAAATGCATTATTAAGAGTACGCTATCAAAAAATATATCGAGCGTTGTTTGTCTCACAGTAAAGTTGAAGAAATTGAGATCTAATTCTCTGGACATATCACCACGAACCACGATAGCCCATCGAGCCACGCTTATCCAGGATTACATACATGATACCGGCTTGCCGTTTATCCAGCACTATTTTTGTAATTTTTGTATTCTTTTTTTGTATAAAAGACAAACTCGAACGTATCTTTGCTATCGATAAGAAGCTTATTATCGTTTGAGAAAAAAATGCATGTTAAGCCAGAAAAAAACGGAAAAGAACATTTAATAAATAATTTTTAAAAAATGTATTTAAAAAAAGTAAATATATATACATGTACATATATTTATAATATTATTTATTGTCCTTTTTAACACATTTATGTATAAAGTTGTGAATTTGTTTTCAAACAAAACTTTTGTCCCACGCATTCGTTCGTGTTTGTACCTTTAAATTGCAATGTTGTAATATGAATCGATTCCTTAATGAGAGAAATGTCTCATTAAAACTACAAGTTTAGAAAATAATGCTTTCTGCGAAAAATATAAACATATAAACATGCTCATTAAGAGCTTTAGTAAATCCAAGATACTGAAAGGCCATGGAAACAGAAGAGTTTACTGGGAATAGCGGCGCATTGAGGAGGAGATAGGAAAGTGTTAATCCTACCGAGCAACTTTGCTGTTGGGAACTTGCACGCTCATGCCGAGAGGATTTCCATCCAATAAATTTGGAGCTTTGTATAAGCTTTCCACGCTTGAGTTTAAATCCCGGCGTTGGCGCGGGCTTACGTGCAACCGTGTTGGGGAATGCTACATATCTGCAGTAGAAAACTCACTTTCCTATTGCTGTTTGTCAGAGAACGTTCAAAAGTTGCATAAGAGTAATTTAATCGAGGAAGAGCAACGAAATGTTACACAAAATGTTTTATAAAATTAGAATTCCTTCTAAATACATGTTTCCCGTGTATCATCGGAAAGATCTAATACGGATTAGAAATCGTGGATTCTATCAGTTCGCATTGTGTTCGAAAAAATCTGCCGAGACGGAGAGACGATATCATTGCGTATAGGTATTTATAGGCATAGGTCTGGTCGTCACCCTCTTATGCGCAAATACCTGGAGTGAGACTAGGCGGAGGGAAAATTTTCGTGATCTCTTCGTGTATGACTCCCCAGGCGCCCTTTCAGTCCGAGGTGGGTCTGGCCTGGAACGCGTAACACGCATTTTTATCAAACGTTACGAGCGCCGGAACGAGCGGGATGAAAACCAATATCTTACTACCGCATGGGAATTCGCTCCAATGCCGGCGTACTATTTTCCGTCTGTGTGTTCGATCCCTTGTTTACATACCTTTCGTAATCATGCGGTCTTTTATCGAAGCCCTTTCAGTATCCGAACGTATAAAACACGCGAGTAAAACTAAACTGTTAAATTTTCGAATATTATGAATATGAGGAGATTGGAACAATTAAATTGGAATTAAGCGAACATCAAAATCGCGATAGAATTGAGTAGGAAAAACTGATTTTTCATAGCGATAAACTCCGAAAAGCGACTCGAGGGAGTCATTTGCGTCGTTTATGATCCGATACCCTCATTTTTTTCAGGCGAATCGTTTCCTTATTGCCGTGATGAGATTCGGGCTGTAAGTAATAATTGAAACGAAAGATATAAGTTTTTTATTTGGTTCAATAATAATGTAATCAATTATTTTATTATCTTTTTCTTGATTAATTAAATCATTATAGCCGGATACACATTTTACATGGATCTTTGTACCACTATGAATTTTAATTTTTATCGTAACAACGTTAATAATCCTACATAATATTTTTTGAATAAGAATTATGGGTTAATTGAATGGTATATTTTTGTTTTTAAAATATGCAATCGTGACTTTTTATTTTTTTTATTTTGCAAAATATATATTTCTGTGTTAATGTTTAAATAATAATTTAATCCAGTAAAAATGTTACGAATTTTACAAAATAAAAATCGTTTATGGATAAAAAATTATTTTACTTTTGTGCACTTGAGAATAAAGGACGAAGAATGAACTTGATAAATCTCATGTTCGAATGTACTTAATCTCCGTCTAAAATACATTTTATATAAGCATTTCAATTTTATTAAATTAATATGAAGATAAACGCCATGTTCTCTTATCCTAAACGGTTTCGCTAAATTCTAGCAGTAATGTAATGAGCTCAGTCGATCGGCATTTAAGGTGTATCCTAATGAGACTGATTTTACGGTCTCTAGTCTATTCGAAAAAAGCAGAATCAATTAATCGCGAATCGTTCAAAACGCCTGATTGCGATATCTTTTATCTAGATTTGCTGATATTCGTAAAATCGTGTAGTATACAAACTAATTTTCAACTGTCACAGATTATATAAAATATATAGCGTGACGGATCATAATAAATAATATATGTTATAAACAAAACTCTCTTTTTTATTATTTAATTAATTTTTTACTTATATAATTCTATAATAAAGAAATTCTATAATAAAGAATTAAGAAGAATTCTATGATATAAAGAATTAAATTATTCTATGAAACGAATTAAAAAGAATTCTATGATAAAGAATTAAATTTACATTTTAATAAAGAAAAAATTTGTGAAATTTTCGTCATTATAATTTTTATTTAATTTTATAAGAAAATGATAATAACAAAAGTTTTAAAAATTTTTGTCATATAATTTTCTTCATGTTTGAATAGGCAAATTGTAGTTTATAATTTTTTTTTGTTGCATTACCGTAAGTATTCAAAAAATCATAAA